CTCAGGCTGGAATACAGTGGTATGATCACAGCTCACTGCAGCCTCAACCTCCTGGGCTCAAGCGATCCTCCTGCCTCAGCCTTCCTAGTAGCTGGAGCCACAGACACCATTAGGCCTGGCTGACTTTAAATTTTTTTTTCTAGAGATGGAGGTCTTGCCATGTTACCCAGGCAGATATCAAATTCCTGGGCTCAGGTGATTCTTCTGCCCCAGCCTCCCAAGGTGCTGCAATTACAGGTGTGAACTCTCAGCTCTCATGAAAACAGGAAGAAAATTACAAAGAATAATAGCGTAAACACCCATATTTCTATCACTGAGGTTTAAAAGTTTTTAATACTCATATATTTGTTTTACATAGCTATCTGCCTTTCTCTCCTTATAGATTTTGTTTGTTTGGGTTAATTATTGGAAAGTACTACCCACATGTACCCCAAAGATTCTCTTTAAAAAAAAAAAAATCAGCTTTATTGAGGTATGATGTTCACATATCATATGATTAAAAGGTTTTTTTTTTTTTTATAAGTTTGAGAACCAGAATTCAGTCAAGGTTCACCCACTGCATTTGATTGTGTCTTGTTCTCCCTTTAAAACAAGGCTTTCTTTATTTTTTTGAGACCGAGTCTCATTCTGTTGCCCAGGCTGGAGTGCAGTGGTGTGATGGCTTACTGCAACCGCCTCCTCCCAGGTTTAAGTGATTCTCACGCCTTGGCCTCCCCAGTAGCTGGGATTATAAGCCTGTGCTACCACACCTGGGCTAATTTTTGTATTTTTAATAGAAACGGGGTTTTACCATGTTGGCCAGGCTAGTCTGAAATTCCTGACCTCAAGTGACCTGCCTGCCTCGGCATCGCAAACTCCTGGGATTACAGGTGTGAGCCACCATGGCTGGCCAGATGCCATCTAATGTATCTGTTTTTAAAATATATGAATCTACACTTGTTTGTATACATTTTCTATTGTGTCTTTTTTTCCCCAAATTATTGCTTCACAGTGTAAAAATGCTACTGTAATGATAGCTTGAATGATGCAAACTTAAACAAAAAGTATAATGATCTCTCATTGACTGTAAACAATGAATAAAAATCCCTATGTCCATGATATTTTAAAAAAAACAAACAAGCCGGGTGCAGTGGCTCACGCCTGTAATCCCAACACTTTAAGAGGCTGAAGTGAGCAGATTACCTGAGGTCAGGAGTTTGAGACTAGCCTGGTCAACATGGTAAAACCCCATCTCTACTAAAAATACAAAAATTAGCTGAGCGTGGTGGCCAATGCCTGTAATCCCAGCTACTCAGGAGGCTGAGGCAGGAGAATTGCTTGAACCCAGGAGGCAGAGGTTGCAGTGAGCTGAGATCATGCAACTGCACTCCAGCCTGGGTTACAAGAGAGAGGCTCCATTTCAAAAAAAATAAAGAAAGAAAGAAAGAAAGAAAGAAGAGAGGAAGGCTCATGTGCTTGCACTGGACGTGACTTAAACTCCTTACTCAGGAAAACCATAACTAAAAGGGATGAAACATTAACCCCCATCTTTAGGAACTTTAATTCATCTCCTGAAAAACGTCAGCTAATAAATTAGAAAACAACTATGAGAAAATCACCATTCTGTAACCTCAAGTCACTTAACTGTTTTAGGCAAGGATCACGAATAATTGATGCTAAAAGGCAAAAGATGGGAGATAGGTATACTTGCTCCTGCAAAACTATTTGTCCCAGAAGTTACATTCTAACTGTGGGGTGGGGAGGGTATACCTTCAATAAGAAAATATTTATTTATTATCACTTTAATCAAGTGGAAACTGGCATTACTAGTATGAGACATTCTGATAATGTGTCTCCTGATGTGTTACAATAGCAAGTACATAGCATAAACTATCACACATGATATAATTATGGCAAAAAAAGTTTAACCTAAATCTCAGCAAGCCTATAGTCCTAACTTCTAGCTTACAGGAAAAGGGCATAGAACAAGGTAAATGACACCATAATGAAGTAATCAGACAAATTAATAAACCTAGATTCATTATTCATTCATCAAGGCAACTGGCTTGTCTCTTTAAAAAGCCAGTTTAAGGAAAAAAAAAAAAAAAGGCAAGTGTTTTGTCTAGAATAACAGAGAATAAGACACAATCAAATGCAATGGGTGAGCCTTGATTGAATTCTGGTTCTCAAACTTATTAAAAAAAAATCTTTTAATTGTATGGTATGTGCACATCATACCTCAATAAAGCTGATTTTTTTTTTTTTAAAGAGAATCTTTGGGGTACATGTGGGTAGTACTTTCCAATAATTAACCCAAACAAACAAAATCTATAAGGAGAGAAAGGCAGATAGCTTTGTAAAACAAATACAGTAAGTATTAAAAACTTTTAAACCTAAGTGATAGAAATATAGATGTTTACACTACTATTCTTTGTAATTTTCTTCCTGTTTGAAAATTTTCTTAAAAGAGCTGGGAGTTCATGCCTGTAATTGCAGCACCTTGGGAGGCTGAGGCAGAAGAATCACTTGAGCCCAAGAATTCAAGATCAGCCTGGGCAACATGGCAAGACCTCCATCTCTAGAAAAAAAAATTTAAAGTCAGCCAGGCCTAATGGTGTCTGTGGCTCCAGCTACTAGGGAGGCTGAGGCAGGAGGATTGCTGGAGCCCAGGAGGTTGAGGCTGCAGTGAGCTGTGATCACACCACTATACTCCAGCCTGAGTGACACAGCAAGACCCTGTCTTTAATTTAAAAAAAAAAAAAAAAGAGTGGGGGGGTGGGGGGAATCTAAAATATGTATTAGACACACAGTCATCAAATATGATACATTTGATTTCTAATAAATTTTAATTCATTGACGAAGAAAAAGTCAATTCTAAATTTATAAAAAATTTTCTAAATTTTATGAGTTCATAATTTGAAAATGTCTTCCTATGGTTAATATTTTATCTTACATAACAGTTTTGAGGAATTAGATTTTAAAACGTGTCAGTCTTCATTAGGCTCCACATCAAATGAGGGGCATGTGAGACCTAGGAAAAAGCAGAATGCAAGCTGCTTCCTTCACCATTCTCTTCCTAGTCTTGCTGATACTGTGGCTCATTAGCCAGCCCCAGTTCTTTCAGCTCAACTGGGTGAGAAGAGGAAGAGAAATTTTCCACTGGAAATGGAATTATGTAAAAACATCTGTCATAGCATCTGGCACAAAGCATACACCACTAAGTGCCCTCGCAATCCTTCTCCTCACTATCCTTACTTGCTGATGCTGAGTAATTGTGTATCCATATAATCCCCAAGTTGGGACAGGTATAATCTTCTAATGATGTTCTGCACACTCTTCACAAAGATGAGAACATTCAAATAGCATGACAACATCCCCATAGAAACCAAACTTATCTTAATAAGTAAATTCTTGTAAGTAATATAGTTAGTTCAACCAAACTTGAAATGGGGAACAAGATAAAGTGGATCCCTTTCTAGTTCCTCCAAATCTAGTTTTATATTTTCTAAGAAGTATGCACTGCTAGAGCCATCGCGCCTAAAATGAGTGAGAATGTCCAAATCTAAATGTAATTTTAATCAAGAAAGATTTTTGGATTATCTAATAATTCAGATAAAAAGTAGTAATAGTTCCCCTTCAAACTGGTTTCCAACTTTGGAATTCATCTTTGACTATAATTTTTAGAGAAAAAATAAGCACTAAGTACAAGAAACTTGTTTTAATGATATGCAATGCAAAATAAAAATAATTGCAAACATTTATATAGCACTTACTACGTACTAAACATCATTCTAAGCGCTTTATGTGTATTAACTCAATTGACTTTCAACTGACCTACGAGATAGGGACTGTTATTACTACTATACATAACAGGCATTTTGAACTCAGGCAGTCTGGTTCTAG